CTACGCCAACGTTCGCGAGCACCTCACCCTCATACCATAATTCCGACCGAGACGATGTCTGCGAACGACACACTACCACCTCCTTACACGACCCGTCAGCTCCGCCGCTACACCCGCTACCCCAAACTCTACGCCGAGCGAAGATATCCGCACCCCTCTCATTCCTCCAACCAGCCCAATCAGCCATTCCCGCTCATGAAGATCCCCATCGAACTACGCTACATGATTTATGCATGCGCCCTCACCCTCCCCTCCCCCATCGAACTCTGGCCCGAAACCGACAGCCCCATCGCCTCGCATCAAATTGTGACCGCAAACCGCAACATGCAGTACCTGAAAGTCAAGATGCGGCGATGCGGCGTCAACCTGAACTTGCTGAGAGTGAGCAGACAGGTAAGACATGAAGCTACGTTTTACTTCTACAGAGAGACCGAGTGGCGCTTCAGCGGGATAAATGGGTGGATGGTTGCGAGTGCGTTCATGTTCATGAGTGCGTTCATGTTCACGAGTGCGTTCATGTTCACTTCAAGAGAAAAGTATGCGTGGCAATACATCAAGTGTATCACACTGCCGTTACCGGTTCGACATACGACCCAAGGGCGAGCGCAACAGCGATGGGGGATGATTAGGCCGGCGGTGAGTAAACGCGCGAGTGTTCGGCTCGCTAAACAGATCCCTTTCGACGTCCCTGATGGGTGGGAGTATGAGAGTAGTGTTAAGGATGTTTGTGTCGCGTTGGGAAAGTGTATGAATTTGGAGGTGCTGAGGCTTGTGCTACCGAAGTGGTGTGATATGGAGGTCGTTGATCAGGGGGTGATGAAGGATTTTGCTGGACGGATTGAGCGGTTAAGGGAGGTTGTTGGGGAAGGGTTGAAAGTGGAGTTGGTCAAGCTGGGTGGGGTGAAGACAGCGATAGGAGATTTGATCACGGCGGATGAGAAGCAGGAGAGGCTTGTAAAGGGGCTTACGGAGAAGGGGTGGAAGGTTAGGACAGCGAAGTGCGACAAGTTCGGGAGGTACGATGTTGGGGATGTGTGATAGGAGTCAACTATGTGACCCGTCGGTGTTACTCTATCGTCGACACAAGTCTTCATCCCAAACACAAGATGCACGGTGAAATTGAACTGAATACGTCTTTCTCTAGGGCATAGCTACCGATCGAAGCTCCTCTTGATCTACGAAGATAGGGACAGTCTCTCTGCCGATTGCATCAGAAGAGGGTCTGGCCTGGAATTGATAAGCTCACCGCTAGCTTCCAATCGATCTAGAACAACACGCAAATCCACGAGGGTTAGCTGGACACGTTCTTATGCGGGCGGATACCAGCAGCCTAGATGAGCGATCCATTTCGGAAGATACGCCACCATGCGATTGGCTGCTGCGGCACCAACGAACTCGGATCTTAGGGGCGTGAAATGACTTTGGTGTTCCTAAAAGTGCGATTGAAGATCTTTCGTCACACTGTTTCAGTCTCGCAAAATTTTCGTGTCCAATCTGCGCTTGGGCGTCATCGCAGCGGTCAAGACGAGTTGTGCATTGCTTCCCCTAGCTGACGACGTGTACAATCGAGCTATCTGGGTAGATGCATGTTGTTGCGGTACGGTGAGGAACTGAAATGGGATGATTCTGGACCGGGCTATTATCGTTGCTTGTGCCGTGTCGGGGACTTTCGCAATCGGGAGGAAGTGGAGATGCGCAGGCGCCACATCCCTGAGCCACATCGTTACGCCACACTTGTGCGGTCCGCTGCTGCGGCCCTACGTGAAACCTGGGCAGTACATTCTCACTTTCGATATTACTCCGTCTTGGACGACACAAATTCGCATCTCCCAAGCATAGCTACACAGATCTAGAGATCGCGAAGGACCGAACAAGGGTCGTTTCGACGCCGGATGCAAAATGGCAATCGTGCAATCGGAAGACGACTACCCGATCGCGACCAGCGAAACACGGCACGACACGCGCAGTACCCACGACTCCACGACTCTACGTCGATCAGTAATCGACGTGCCATGACACAGTACTACTAACTACAACAACATGTGTATTCCGTGGATGGGCTGAGCGATCGTTTGACGACCAGCCTTGGACGTCGTCTCGAGTCGCAATGCAGCTAACCTCCAGGGCGGTTGGCGTCAGCCGGCTGCATCAACCTGGCAAGCAAGTCCTGTCAGCAACTCTTGAACACGCGGGATCCTTATCAGCGTGGTGAACAGAGGTACACCTGGGAATGGCACCTGGGCGTCATGCACGACACCTGTTTGCGCGACATGACGTGCCAAGACGCCTCGAGCTGGTGTTTTACGCCCTTCAGGAAGCGTCGCGATTGGCGGAGATATCGAAAAGAAAGTCATTGAAACTATCTCACACTCTAGCCAGATTCTAGCGCAAGGCTCGCCCCGTGACACGAATCGCAAAATGGGTCTTGGCAGGACCCAAATGATGTTCCCGGAGAAATGCTTGACTGGCCAGACGTATTCGAACAACGAGCGGAAATTTCAGTTCTCCTTGGCGTTCCAGATAGGTGGTTACGATGTGGATATTTGAGAGGTTTCATGTCAAAGCTTGGCATTTTGGCGAGCGTTGGCGTCGGTGTGACAGGCTGAATCCAGCACTAGTCGATCGGACATGTAACGACTTCCTGGCTTTTGGTGGTAAATCCATTGTCGTGTGCGTTCGTGTGGCGTTCCAGAACACGATGTCTCTCAAGTCGTCTCCCAGAACTCGTCTTTCTGAGATGCAAATTGATGTCTTATCGCGCTGATGATGATGAGAGTTGAGTCTGGAAGACAAGACGGTGCTTACTGGATAATTCACTCTCTACCAACTCCACAGTACAAATGAGCCTGGCATGGATGCTATCGAGATCTCCCGCCCTGAGCGTGTTTCCGACCTCCAAGCCCCACCAGAGCACGGCCCTGACGTCCTCGAAACCCTGCGAGCGTCTTCTTCTGGGCCATCCTACTCACATTCGCATGACACTCTGGGCCTGGGCTCATGAGTACCGCCGGAGAGGAACAGTACCCTGTCTTCCACATGGCACATCTTCGGACGAATGTGGAGTGCCTCAGTGTGGTACCAAAAGGCGAGTTGAGGGGGAGTATAAGTATCACAGCGACCACCGGCAAAAAGGAACCACCACCACCATCACATTCATTCAGTCTATTCTTGCTTGAAGCATCCACTTTCGCTACCTCTTTCAGAGACTTACATTCTTTATACATACTTTGTTCAAAGCATCCTCTTCGACTTTCCAGTTTCGATCAACCAACTCAACCATCAACATGAAGTTCTCCATCGCCATCGTTGCTGCCATCACTGGCTTCGCCGCCGCCGGCCCTGCCGCCGTTACTCCTTCCGAGTTCTCCTCCTTCGCCAAGCGCGCCTCCCTCCCGATCCCCGCCTCCAAGGGCTCCGTCACCTACAAGGCTCCCCAGCAAGTCAGCGGAACCTTTGATGGTGGCATGAAGACCTACGGCCGTGGTGCTAGCTGCACTGGCCAGGTCGAGGGCGGTGACAAGGACGCTGTCTTCCTCATCAAGAACGGCGGAACTCTCAAGAACGCTATCATCGGAAAGGACCAGATCGAGGGCGTCCACTGCGAGGGTGAGCATCCTTCCGTACAAATAACGAGTCATAGATACTAATCTGAACCAGGATCCTGCACCATCGAGAACGTCTGGTGGGTCGACGTTTGCGAGGATGCGCTTTCCCTCAAGGGTGACGGAAACGCCATGATCAAGGGCGGAGGTGCCCAGGCCGCTGATGACAAGGTCATCCAGCACAACGGAAAGGGCACGGTCACCATTGACGGCTTCAGTAAGCTTCCTCCGGTCTCGAGCATTTCCATACAAAACACTAACACCTCCCAGCCGTCATGAACTTCGGCAAGCTCTACCGTGCCTGCGGTAACTGCAAGAACAGCGTCGCCCGCTCCGTCGTCATCAAGAACGTCAAGGCCTACAACGGAAAGGTCCTTGCCGGTATCAACCCCAACTTCGGCGGTACCGCTACCATCTCCGGCACCTGCGCTACTTCCGTCAAGACCATCTGCGAGGAGTTCAAGGGCACCAAGCCCGGCTCTGAGCCCAAGTCCGTCTCCAAGGGCCCCTCCGGCAACTGCAAGTACACTGCTTCTGCTGTCAAGTCTTGCTAGACGAGTACTTGGACTCGCTCGGCAGTTTAGTCGGGTGAGAGTGGTGTGGTCATCGGGGATGACTAGGTGGTAGATGTGGATTTTGGAACTTTGAGGATTCTTTGTATATATAACCTTTGCACACATGCAGTGCATGTAATCAACTTGCTTCAGCACTTTTCTGTTCTCGATATCATGGTGATCCGAAGCTTGCCTCAGGCCCGTTTGAGTTTGTGGGTCTGATGCAAAAGCGACAGCGGGGATGCGACGACAACTTCGCATTTGATCGCTGTGAGATGTTGTCGCAGCGGGAGGCATACAGAGTACTGCGCCACAGTGACAGCAAAGTGTCGTTGAGGTTCATCGGGCAGTCTCGGCGTTACTGGGGAACTTTTGCAAGATTGATTAATCTATCGTCGGCTACTTGCACCTCATTTAATCTACTACGGAAGCATCGGAGCTAATGCCTGGGCAGATGAAACACAGTGAGTCTTCTCAAGGTTGTAAAGATCAGCAGCCAAGTAGGTAGGGAATTGTATGACTTTTCGCATTAGGGTACATGACAAGATTGTGGCTACCACCTCCATACGCCCGCTACAATTTTGGAGGCGCTGTGGGTGGCAACACAGTTTTGGTATGAGACTGAGAAACGAATATTAGGAGATAAGAAAAAGGTATATCCCGCAACACCGCTCCGTGGCAGTGAGGACAAGGAAGTCAAGAAATCCATAAGCAACGCAAGTGGGCAAGGCGGTGACGTCATTTCTGACACTTCGCCGAGCTTTGAAAAGAAAAGCAGATACCAAATAACTCCGTCACCCTGGGTATAACGCGCCGGTAAACAAGGAACTGGACGTGCTAGCCATCACTCGCTGCGACGCTTCTTCGTAGGCGCTTTCTTGCGAGGTGCTTGGCTAGCTGGGTCCTCCGCAACGAAGTTCTCTTCGCGAGCGCGCTTCTTGCCCCTTGAGACCTTCTTGACTTTTGTAGACTCTTCGCTGTTGGAGCCCTCTTCGCCATCCTGCTGTGTCGCCTTGTCGCCCTTGTCTTCGCCGCTGGAAGAAGCTGCCTTGCTGCTTTCTTTCTTGATTGCCACTTTGCCTGCCCGAATTTGCTGGCCTTTGTTGACGTTGGCAGTCTTGTTGGTGGCTGTGCGATGGATCAGGTTGCGCGGGTTGGCGATGATAGTGTAGAAGCGGGAACCCTTCATGATGTCTTGGCAAGACGTCTTGGAGTACTGTGTACGTTTAGCATCAAACTGTATAATTATGAAGACAGAACACTTACATGAAGCAGTTCCCGAAGACCTTCGAATCGATCTTCAAACGTGTAGAACTGGGTAAGCTGACATTGCTCACGCTCGTTCTGGTCGAAGATCTGCTTGGTCCAACCGTCGGTGTGGATTTTGATCAGCTCTTTCTGTGCTACGTTAGTGATGGCAGAGGGATACAGTTCGGTTTGGACTTACCACGAGCAGGCCAGCAGCTGCATTGTACTCTTCCGGGAAATAATACTTGGACTCAGAGTTCCACCGATTGGTAGGTGACTTGATATCGGCCTTCTCCCGGATGTTTTCGACGTTGTGCATTGCCAGGTCAAGAGCATTGACGCAGGCCTTGATGTCATCTTCTGTTGTAGGAATGGTCACATCATTGGCAGGCGCCTTCCACATCGTACCACTGAACTCAACTCCAGTGTTGGTGCGAACCATAGTGATAGACTCGCCCATCTGCCCATCCATACTGGTCTTGGCCTTCAGCTTCCTGATCGCGACCCGGGCTTGCTTCTCTTTTTCGAGAATGTGCTTGGGTGTGGTAGATTTAACAGCGCCCGCGCCGTCAGCGCCGTCAGCAGCTTGCTCGCCAGTTCCAGCGTCCTTGTTCTCGGACTGCTGGGGAACAGATGCGTCACCGGTTGCTACTGTGTGGTGCGTGACAGGTGCGTGATGGTTGGTGACGGGCGGGCGGTGCGCCGCCGATGTATCAGGAGTCGCTGACGTACGTGACGACGATGACCTACTGCGCGATTCTGATGCACTTTGCGGGCCGATTTCATGGCGCGGCTCCGGTCCACGGTGCAGCTCTGGTGCGCGTTGCAGCCCTGATGGATCTCGCAGGCCGCCTGATGAACGTTGCAGCTCTACGTACTGCCAGCCTAGTGCACGTTGAGGCTCTTGTGCATATTGTCGCCCTCGTGCTTGGTGGCCGACTGCTTCGTGAAGAGCCGCTGATATTCGATCCATGGATGAAGGATGAACTGGCGCTGACGGAGAGACCGGTGTTGACGGATAACCTGATGCCGATGGGTAACCTGACGCCGATGGATAACCTGACGCCGATGGATAACCTGACGCCGATGGATAACCTGACGCCGATGAATAGCCTGGCGCTGACGGATGAACTGGCGCTGGCGTACGGGATATTGGTGCTTGGCGCAGAGTTCCTGGTCCGTGAAAGGTCGCTGGTCCATGAGGAGCAGTTGATCCGTACGTGGGCGGTGCTAGGTAAGCCGAACCTGGCCTATTTACAGGCGATGTAATGTTGCTTCGCAGAGGCTCATGACCCATTGATGGTGTCGGGGTAACAGATGTTGATCGCGGGATGAATCCTAGACGACTTGCAGACAGCGTTTGGATCGGATCTGGTGTGGGAACAGACATCGTTTGGGTGAACCCATCATTGTAAAATGAGTTCGGTCCAGACGTATGACGCGCAGGCGACTGAGGGGAGTTGTTGGGTGCGCCTAGAAGAAGTCAGTGTGAGCGCGCGACACAGAGTGTATATCATGTCGACTTACCGAAGGCTACGTTACTCTCTGGCTGATACTGTTGGCCAGTCTCTACGTGATTGTGACCTCCTTGCAGGTTCCAGTCAGAGGCCGACTGTCCGGGTACGCTCTCGCCAGAAGTGTACATATCTCCTTGATGGTCGAAATAGCCGCCGTTGTCTCCGAAGCTCTCAGAAGGGAACAAAGGAAAGTTGTCGCCGTAATCAAACACGCTTTGGTCGTTCTGCCTGAAGTCGTTCTGTTCGATTGAGCCAGGATGTGTTGAAGCCACCGGCGCGATAGGAGGGGTCGATGAGACAGGATTCTCCTCCATGAACTTCGCAAAAGAATCGTAGTCAAATCCCTCAGTGATTGAGTAGTCGGCCTCGTGAGTGGAGGGGTTGTTGGAATTCATTGTAAAGCCGTCGTCGTTGTATGAAATGAATTTTGCAAGTTGTTGTTGTGAATCGAAGTGGTTGAGGGGAGTAATGTTTCCTTGAGATCAAGATGAAGCCCCAGAAATACTACCACGCGGGTACAACGCGCTAGGAGTTTGTTTGTGGCGCAGAGCAGAAGGCTCCCAACTCGGATGAAGTGGGTCAGAGGGTGAATCACGTGTTCACACGGCGGCCGCTCCAAGGCGGGGGAGGGGCGATTAAGGAGGAAATCACTGTAGCGCCAAGCCCAAAGCGTGAGGGAGACCGAAGTGTTCATGCAGGCGGCAAAACCAGTAGCGATACTACGTATCAACTTTCGAGGCATCGCGCTGTTTCTTGCCAGTCAAGTATATAAACTCAACTAAACCATGTATAAGTAAGCCAGAGCCCCTCGACGCCGTCTAACATAGCGAAACGTAAGTGCAAGGCTCCTACTGTCGACTGTATATATCTCTTTCTAGGCTTGTCCTGCTGCATCCTTTCCGCCGTACCATTCCAAATGGTACGAACTTGGTGAATGGGGTTTGAAAGACAGTTCTCAAGGAGACGTGAAAGAGCAAGGAAAGCGAGATTGCTTGCGGGACAGGGAAAGACAGCCTACCCATAAGTGTTCGAGGATTCCACGTCACTACTTAACACTACCGCCCAGGTGTTTGTCTCAACCGAGAAAGCACTCCCAGATGTTGCACTCGACAAACTATTCCGGCAAACGCAAACACTCTTCCAAACTCAACCTTGACAACTGCGCCGGCTAACCGAGCATACTCGCTTCGCTTGGAATAGTAAGTGGGAGACGACAATGCCGACCTAACTAACCCCTAGGTAGACGTTTGCTGTGTCGTGCTGCCTTGACCAAGGCATGCCGAATGGCGCAACCAAGAAACCCGATCTCTATTGGACTTTCAGTCGGATCAGAGAGCTCAAGACAAAGAAAGCAAGTCCATCCATCAGCCGCTCGGTAGCTGATGATTCCGACGGTAGTGTCCTTGACGGCACGTGTTCGCGACAAGAGCTCCCTTTGACATCCTGCCGAAGGAAGCATCTTCAGTGATGAGATTCGAAAAGGAGGCCAAGCGATTGAATGCGATGGCGACGCGTGGCGAGTCCGTCAATCTGCAGCAGCACGTTCGCTGCGGGGGAGCGGCGCATCGCGGCAGTCCGAAGAGCATTACCTGGACACGACTGTACTCGATGAAAGCTTACAGAACTGTCCAGCACCAGTCCTCGAAAGAAGCAAGAAGCGGCCGTGCACCAGGCGGAGTCCATGAAGGTTTGTCGTTGATTTTGAGGTGGGATCAATGCGCGCTAGCGACGGCGAGTCTGCCCCTCGTTCCTGCCTTCCTTCTCCGCAACTTCCAACTTCGTCCGCTTCCACCAAACATCGACAGCATCGTCAATCTCGCCACCGCTGGGACCTTCTCTTTACTGGTACTTTCACCCTAGGTGGCGTTTGAATCTTCATGTCTTCATGTGATTAAATGCCCAACCCTTTCCCGACGGTGGCTTCGATGGCTGTGCTGCCATAAAAGTCGACGGGCCACGCCCACGCCCACCACCATCACCGCGACCCTCACAATGCTGCACCGAACGCGATCTTTCCAACGCTTCGCGGATTAAGATCATCGGCAACATAAGCCCAACTGACGGCGCGGTACAGCCACTGCCCTTTCGACGCGTCTGATGACGCCGCCATCGCCCGAGACAAACATGCCAAGGCAACATTCCCTCCTCGCCGCGCACTAGCTAGTCAGGTATGCAAACTCATTGCACTTCGAAACCTTTCGCGCCCATATTCACAGCCACTAGCATCCAACTCTTCTCCACACACCGTGATGGCATACCACGCCGTAGTCGTGCGGCTGCCGCTGCCGTCGAGCCACTCAACTGGCGCAACCTAGATGACACCTCACCGAAGGTTCAACTCCTAAGCAAGAGCGACTTCCAACGCGAGAATACTGCACTCAAGTGTAATGAGAGTACTCTCTTCCACCATTTTTTCCGGTCTCGTTCCCGATCAAAAGTGACCACCTTCCCGCCGGGCATGGAGGTCACATGACGCATCCCGCCTGGAACGCTCTTGCTTGGAAAGACCCCGGTGACACCTGAAAGAGAAGGGGCTACATTATCTCATGGTACTGTGTCGCACAAAGTGTATTGCTGCTTGCCAGTCTTGGTCGACGAAGATCCGTTCGCGTCTTTACGATATGGACTTGCACATGCACTTGCAGGCGCAGCCCATGCAACACCTCATCGGAGGGCTGGACAGAACACGCGTAGACCTGGCAAGACGTTGCTTTTCCGGAACCTGAACAGTGTGTAGTCGGTCGCGCGCTCTGTCGCTGCCAGCTGCAATCGTATATGCTGACGGCCCTGCGACGGCCTCGCGCATCCGTATTGTCGCCGATCTTCATAAGGTTCCTATGGTACGCCATTAGCTCTTATGTCTTTCAGTTCAACAAGAAGTCATTCTATGTAAGGTAGTCAGTATGTTAACATATGTCACAGGCAACATCGCACGCAGCAAGGCCATATCACACGACGCCAACCTCGCCCAGTATCCCAGGCAAGACGCATATCACGACACTACACGCTATCGACATGTCGCAAGTGCTATGAGGGTTTGTGGATCGGGGCAATGGGTCGTGGGTGTAACAAACGCTCAGGTCCTAGGTGAATGCGAGGATGCCAAGACGCTCGGACGCACGTTACTCACGCCTGTGCTGTCCATACCCACGCAGCCCCCCGGCAACAGGCAACGATCATAACAACAAACCTTCGTCTTCTTTCACAGAACGCAATGCCAATGTCGGGCTCTCGCACCTGACATCCTCTTGGCTTACAAATCGTCCGCGGTTGTCACAGGCGACCTTCAATTTCCTACTTCACTCCGTCGTCGCCTGCGTAAGTAGCACACCAGATCCACTTCAATCCGCGCGCAATCCGCGCATGATTTTTCACTAGCCCGGTGGTCAAGCCTTGCGAACATAAAGATCGGGAGACTCCCGCAGTCAGTTCACCCCCACGCCGCATAGATCTCATCAATTCTTCGAGTAGGTTCCACCGGTGCTGGAAAATAGATGCTGGAGTTTACTAACAGGTGTCTTAGTTGCAAGCAGTAACCGTTGAAACCGAAAACCCCCACTACCAGCCCCAGGAAACCAACAACATGACCGACCACGACCCCGATAAGGAAACCCCCAAGGGCATAGCCAACAACACCCTAATGGTGATCAAGAGCCAGACTGCATCTCCCTCAGCTCCCGTTGGTGCTCGTGCTCCTGTTCCCTTTGCTCCTCCCATTCCCCGCCTTGCGGACACGCGCCTGGAAAAGGTCCCCGGCGGTCTCAAGGATCCGTCTCGCCTTAAGACCAAGATTTCCCAGCTTCTGGACAAGGACGGTGACTATCCAGAGGTCGATGGCTTCCGCTTCAAGACCCTAGAAGAAGCTAGGGCGCCCATGGACGAGCCTCAGTGGTATTCTCCAGAGGTCGACCCCTCCATCCCCGTTACCGCCGCAGAGTATCGCAAATTTGTCAGGATGTTGGTGCTAGCTTTCAAGGATATGACCCGCGCCAAGGACACCCAGGGCAACGCCTACCGCAAGCGGCTCACTCCTGGTGAAGGTGTCTATTACCAGGACTGGGCTATTGAGGCGTGCTCCTGGGACATCGTCGGCATGGCCAAGGACATTCACCTGAACGGCTTCAAAGTTCGCATCTACGATAAGTCCATCATCGACAACATCAGCCAGACCAAGGACTGGACCTTCGGACAGCGTATAGAGTGGATCTGTGCGGTGCTGAAGACCTCCAAGCAGATTGGCGTTACTCTGATGAAGAACGAGAAGACCTGGACTACTATTGGCGCTCCCCACAAGCTGTACAGTAGCACCATCGTCAACTGCGTATCGAACGCGCACCGCGGCCAGTGGATCAAGGTCGGCCGTGACAACGACCAGCACCATCAGAATCGTCCGATTCGGGGTAGGCGTACTGCGGCTGAGATGATCGCGTCTGGTGACAACGATGACACTGATGATCCTGGAGCAACTCCGGGTTCTCAGATGATGTTACAACCGCGACAGTCGGCTCAGAAGCGCCAGAAGCGTAGTCAACCGGGTATGAACGTCATTCAGCATGACCACCCAGCCATGGCCGTCGACTCTGAAGGCGAGATGTCTCCCGGAAAGATGAAGAAGAAGGCCCCAGAAGAGCGCAAGACCACAACCCAGTACAACTCGTCATCCCCCACCTACGTTGTTCAGTCAGAGACTTCGGCATCTCAGCGGGATGAGCACCACCCTGGTGCTGACATGGGCGTTACCTTTTCGAATGTACTTCCCGTGAAGCATGTCGTCGCTGTCCCCGTGCAAGCTGCTCGAAAGAACGGTGCCCAAGCTGGTGATGTCGTCTCCAAGGATGCGTTCAGCAAGGACGTATTCAACGAGGGTGCTGTTGGCAAGAATGTCTCTAACGACAACGGTGACGGCTCCTCTCTAGACAAGGCCAACAAGAAGACTAAGCACACCGGTTTCGTCAACTACCATTGCGGAGCCAAGGGCATGGACGAGCTTGACTCCGACAGCTCTGAGCTCTCTGATGCACCTGACGATCTGCTATCTCCTGGCTCTACTTCTTCAACTCGCAGCCACAAGCAGAAGGAGCTGCTGGACGACCCCGAGGACAAGGTTTCCGTTGAGGAGTACGCCAAGCTTCGGGGTGAAATGGATGAGCTGAAGGCGGCGCAAGCTGAGACCGACAAGATTTTGGCGGCACTCCGCGCGGAGAACGCGCGCTCGTTGGCCTCGTTCCATCAGGGCTCTTGAGTGGCTGAAGACTGGCGCAGAGAGACTCAATCAGCATCGAATGATTAAGTACACGTTTGGCCGTCCATGAAAAGAGATGGATGACCAGTCTTTCCTGCCTTTCGGTAGGATAAGATTCTGAATGGAGTTCATATGGGAATAGTTGAAGTAGCACATGAAGTCACGACGTTTCGACTGTAATTCTTGATTACTTTACGACGTTGTGGCGGAAGAATACAAATACTTTGAAAAAACATCTTTGCCTTACCTTGTCTGCGTGATTAAATTGATGTCTAGGTCGTATGTATGCAGGTCGGTGATACTAACCTTCTTGCGGTCAATCTTAGATACGTCAGCGCTAAACTTTATCACCAGTAACCTCGGAACCTGAGCTCCCTGCTTTGCAAGTAACGCGACGCGCAGCGAAATCCGACCGTCCGACCACCCGACCGCAGCTATGCCTTATATCATACCAGCAGCCTTATCGCATAGGTTCCCACCTCCACGAGGACCCTATATAAATCATCCTCCACCGTCCGCTCCGCGCCAACACCATACTCACACCCCCTCCGACCTACGATGACGACCCGAAGAAGAACCGAACACCTAGAAGACTTCACCGCTCGCGACTGGTGCAAGGCCCTCTTCGCCGACCCCTCGATAACGCACATCCACGATCGCCGCCTGTTTGAGGCCCGCGACGGCTGGAACCTGCTCTTCACGCGCGGCCTCTTTACATCCGACGCGATCCGCGCGTTTCTCGACTTGTGGAAGCCAGGTCACGGAAAGCGGCGGGAGGTTATAGACCCCGACAGTGTAGTCACACATACGGACACAACGTGGGAGGAGATTGTGCCGCCCGACAACCCGAAAGAGGCGGCTAGACAAGCAGCGAAGAAGGACATACAATACGATCTCTCCGATCCGGAAGGAACGGAAAACATCGTGCTGGTATCGCTAGCTCACGATGCCGATGGGAACTATGCGAGTCTTCATGGCGGCATTACGGCGTCGCTGCTGGATCACTGCATGGGCTGCCTTATAGTCAAGAACTATGGCATCCCGAATGCGACGAGTGAGTTGCGGGTTAAGTACAAGAAGAATCTGGTGACGCCGTCTGTGGTCAAGGTTAGGGCGAAGATCATGAGGGAGAAAGGGAGGTATGTTGAGGCTGTCAGCTGGGTGGAGGATGGTGAGGGTGGAGTGTTTGCCGAGGGGTGGGGCAGTTTTGTCAAGAATAAGGTCGTTATGGCGAAGATGTAGATGGTGATGGAGGCGGGATGTATGAGTGGGATATAGGGCGTATGGGATGTGTATGACGGGATGCGCTGAGGTGAATGCTTATGTTGACTGTAGACAGCTCCGATGACATCGCACGAATTTCAATGTCAAGGCGCGTCTGTCCAGCGTCTTCAGATCTGAGCCGCAGCCGTCCTACGCGATTCATGCATCGAGATCAACACTCCAGATCTTCAACACCAAACCCCATCACAACTGGACACGCTCATCCACATCCACCACCGCGGCAACTCCATCACAACCCACAGCAGATCCCATTCACCACGCCAATTCAGGCTTTATCGCAGCAGATCCGATCTTTCCGACCCCTACCGCCCAACTTGCTGCGTCTTCTTGGCCTCTCCAGTGTTCTCAATACCCGACGAATCACATCGCGCAACGTCGTCGCGTCGCGTTTCAGATAACAACGAATCCGTTCTAGACCATCCCTTCCTAGCTGTCGATCAGGAGATTTTTGCAGAAAGCCCAGAGAACTCTTCTTATCGACAACGCACATGCATGGCATTTGTTCATTTACACGTGCGGGTGGATAGGCCAAGGCGCATGTGTGACACCTGCTAATTTTGGGTCGGGGCACGGCGTGGGTGCCGAGTACAATGCTGGATGGATGAAACTAATGGCATTTTATGCGCTGGATTGAGGCTGAGTTGTGTATTGTGGGTTGGTTGAGTGGTATCTCATTATCTTTACGCGTCAGCCCTCGTCCTTCGTCCTGCTTCCTCCCTTCGACACCTTTTCCGTCATTCTTTGTTCGTCGCATCTTTTTTTGCGCAGACACTCTTTGGTTGTTTTTTATATGGTTCAGTGAACCAGTACGTTCTTTACACAAATTACATTCTTTTTTTGCTTTGATCAGCACGTTCCTTTTTACGAGATACCATTACATCGATTCAATCCTTCAAAATGATACCGAGCACCCTTACCAAAGCTATCTCCCTCATCGTGCAAACCGCAGCAATCCAAGCCCCACCACCATCGCCTCCAGCGCCAGCCGCCCTACTATCTTCATCAAGCACCCTCGCCGCCTCCCTCAAAGTTTCATTCCCAGACCCTGGTCGAGCACTTCTCCCCCAACCGTACTGGTGGTGGCAATCCGGCACCGCAGTCGAAGCCCTCCTAACCTACGGCTCCACCACTGGCGACCTCCAGTATGAAGATCTTCTCAAGACCACCATCCTAAGTCAAGCGACTCCCGCAAACGACTTCATGACCATCGACGCAACCGGCAACGATGATCAAGCGTGGTGGGGCCTCGCCGCCATTACAGCCGCCGAGTTGAAGCTTCCCCAGCAAGGACCCGTAGCTTGGGTGGATTTGGCGACGAACGTCTTCAACCAGCAAAAACAGCGTTGGATCGACGGCAACAATACTTGCGGCGGCGGCCTGCGCTGGAAAGTAGACTTCGGTGAAGACGGTCAGAACGGCTGGCACTACAAGAACGCCATTACCAATGGTCTCTTCTTCCAACTTGCCGCCCGCATCGCACACCTCACGAAAGATGCTGAGATTCTATCCTGGGCGGAGAAAACCTATGCCTGGAGTACAAAGGTCGGACTTGTAGACCAGGACTTCAATGTCTACGACGGCACGAGTGAAGACAACGGGTGCTCAGATCTAAACCACAACATGTGGAGCTACAATGTCGGTGTTTACATGTACGGCGCTGCAGTCATGGCCGTGCATACCAAAGACGAGAAGTGGGCGGACAGAACCAAGGGTTTTGTCGCTTCCGCAAAGCGCAATTTCGTTAACCAGGATACCGGCGCGCTTTTCGAGAGCAAGTGTGAGGCCAAGGATGCGGAAGAGCCGTGTGACACCGATCAAGTCTCTTTCAAGGGCTTGTTGGCGCGATGGTTGGGTGCTACAGCTGTGTTGTTGCCGCAGGTTAAGGAGGATGTGGAGAAGATTGTTAATCCAGCTGCGAATGCGGTGCACAACGGTACCGTTCTGGACTTGGGTCCTATTGAGAGTGCGTATGCGCTTGAGGTTGTTGATGCGAGTTTGAGGATGCAAGGGTTGGGAGGGGAAGGAACGATTGGAGTTGGCAAAGTCAAGGCAGCAAGGAGTGTTGCAGGAAGGATAGCATGGTGATGCAAGAGATAAAATGTGGATACCCCGATAGATTTGCTTTTTCCAACACAAAGCTGCCCTTTACGATCGTATTGTGCGCGCCCATCATTCCCAAACCATCTCCATGAACCTGCATCTGCCGGATTAACCCCTGCTTTTAGCGTCATTGCAATCGTATCGCGGCCGATCTCATCTTCGATCCATGTGCGGGTGCGCTACGCGGATCGATGTTCCGGTTCCACGGGGAGGCTAACGGCGTGGCTTGCAGCCCCTCAACACCAATGGAGCTATTGGAGCTCTCATAATGACGTCGCAGGTACGGAAGCTTGCCAGGAACGTCAACAAACTTCATTTAAGGTGCAATCGCGCGTGTCTACTGACCTCTCATCTCATCGCGCAATTTTGGATCTGTTGTTGTGCAATTGACTGGTAGCGACATCATGCCTTCTATTAACTCAACTGTGGGTTGTTCTTGGGGCATTGGAGCAATTGAATGGGTGAAAGCTGACTGCTCGGTGCAGGTATTCCATGCGTATGCCTATGGCACGGCATTCTGGTACGGCCTGCGTGGCTTGTGTCGCGTGTACGACCCCATCATGGTTATCGGCTGTACGTTCCATTGACCCTCCAACCTTCTTACCCCGCTCTTCAAAGCCTCAATCCCCTGATGTTCACTGTTCATTCCAAAACTAACACCGACAGGGTTCCGGCCTCCCTCGCAACTAAACCTCGCTCCCAACGATCTCGAAGCCTACAACGTTCGTAACGACGGCTGGTGCCTCGTCACCCTCGCGCTGATCCTCATCTCCTTCACAAACGCCATACCCTTCAACTCCGCGCCCGCAACGAAGCTCACTACGATTCCATATGCGAAGGCGGTAGTGGCTGCGACGGTGTTCCATCATATCACAACGGGCATTGGCGCGTACCAGCATTACAAGATGCCGAGTCATTACAACACTAGCATGAGCATTGGGGTGTGGGGGAATGTGTGGTTGACGCTTACGGGGCTGTTTACACTGGCGATGTTGCAGAGTGATAAGGGGACGATGCCTGTTGAGGAGGTAACTAAGAAAGTTAGATAGGTGCTGGGGGCGTGAGTGGAAGGGGGCTGAAGATGTTGAAAAGCAAGACATACGGATGGCAATACGGATGTTGTGGTGGAATGCAAGATAAAGGCCGTACAGCCTGGGCCTGAGCTTTTGCGATCGAAAAGTAAGATGTGTATACAGCGACACAGCGTATCTAAAAGAGAGAAAGCAGTTCGATTATCACTATCCGAAACCCGTGCACTGACGGCGAGCTAGTTCGTCACACCATCTGTATTCAGGTCAATCTCTAGTCTTCGAGAATCTTTCCAAGAACTAGATAGCCTCTCCCACTATCCTTCTTCCAACCTTGTCTCTATTTCGACCTCACCATGCCAACCTAGGAAAAGCTGAACAACCTGGAGCCTACGTTGACGTTGGGTCACCCACTTTGCAGGTTCTTGTCTTGATGTAGTCCGCACGCCTGTTCAGCTTTTTCCTTGTATGAGGTGCCACTATCCCTCAAAACCCCTCCGGTCTATACCTAGGCCATCCCCCAAAACCACTGTTATACCCCCGAAAGTTCCAACCTTGCCTAGTCATCGTACACGGCGTGCAATAAGCGTTGCGACGGAAGTCAAACTGGTTCTGCTCGCGACACCTTCGGGATTGGCGATAAGGGATACCGGGTTGATTGAAGCAGCGTGGGTCGTTGATCTGGTTCAGACCGGTGCGAAAGTGTTGGCACGGTGGGGCTTGGATGTATTCATGGTGAGCGCAGCGTTCATAGTGGCGGTAGATGTCTCGGCACATGGTGTTGGTTGGGGAGTTGAAGTGGCTTCGAAGGATCTGGGTGTGACGAATGAGTTAAACCAGGAGGGTCGGTGTATGGCAAGGAACTCTGTTCAGTGTCTCGCAAGAAGACTGTGATAGTCCAGTCTCATCTCCCCTCTTATACACATCCTTCAGTGTTGCGATCGTCCAACACACCCATGTCGAATCTCATGTGAACCAACAGTCGACCGCGGGGAACTCGGGCAGCGAGGTTGGGCAAAGCTTTACCTATACTGTATGAACAACGCGCAGACATTTCGTAAGATCCTTCTGCTGCCTCCCACCGGTGAAGAGTATACGTACTGAGCTTTGTGTGGCTTCGTCAACTGCAAGATACTGTTCGCAGCGAATGCACACCCTTATTATGAGGTATGGAAACTAGCGCAAACGTCTCTCGCAAAGCCACATGGCAGAGGCTCCGAACCGTACGATGTGAGAGGACAATCTGCCGGACTGTTGGGGGCAAGTCGGAATGAGGCCATGCGTGAAGTAACCCGGGGAAACTTACTCAGCCTTACGCAAATTGACCCAGCTTCCCGGTTATGGAGGACGGATGCGATTGACGGGTGCGGATGGTCTGGATGTTCGTCGCATTGCGATCCCGCTGGTCTAGACCTGATGGCCTGGGGTGTGGTACAGATGACGAGTAAGTTTGCTGTACGAGCCAACGAATCCTGATGAAGGTAACGGTCGTATCCGGGCCGCGACCCAAGTGGAAAGGTGCGTTCGGTTCTTTGTCACAATGAACGGCGTTGCGTCATGTTATAACCGTCGTTGTTCGCAAGCGTCGATGCGGATATTTCCCCGAGCATACGCGCATCGAAACTGGAAGCAAGCCGAGCGGTTCGGAATTTGGAAAGAGAGCGCTTATGGCACGTCGTGAAACGTCATTAATGTTTCGGCCGAGGTTGTGGATATCGCGTTAAAGGCGCGTGACTTTGGACATGGAAGTCGGAACACGTGGCTGCACGTGGAGCCAACAACACAAGCTCGTAGCAGTAAAAGTGTGAAGCGAGGCAGTCACGATCGAGGAGATAACAAGACGAAAGGGAAGTGTGATATGCTTTTATTGATGAACGCCTGACCAACCCACCTGGGTACAGGTCATAAAATGCTACCCAAAACGCCAATATGTATGCAAGGGGTATCGCTGAATGCAAAAAGAAAAAAAGCCTCCCAGTCTTCATGATCATGCAATCGTTTTCATGCAGTCATCATCATGTATGTCCGTCATCAGTACCCGTGGCCTGCCACTGGAGAGCTCAGTGTGTATGTAACAAAAGAAAATGCAGTAAAAGAATCAGAGCAGACGTGGCTTTCCACCGTCTATAGTCCCCTAAACTTGGCACCATTCCTGTGGTAGATGCTGTGCACTGCGCGAGGAGTGATAGCTGGGGGAGCGACTGCCGGGGGAGCGGGGGGAGTAGCAACAGGCGCTGTTGGAGCAGGCGCTGTGACAGTGACCATGACAGTGTCGGTGACTGTGACAACGCCGTTGTCGCCGGCTGGTGGTGTTGGTGCGGCACCGGGACGACCTGAAAGTGTCGGGATCTCCATAGTAGCGCTGGAGGCCGCTGAGTTGCTGGGAGATGGCAGCTGGGCGGTCGCGGAGGGAACGATGGCAGAAATTGGAGGAGAGTTGCTAGCGGCTGGAGGTGCAGCACTTGGAACGGGAACAGCGCTGGTGGTGACTGGAGCTGTAGGACCCGCGGGCGGAGTGCTGTTGGTGGGGAAAGGAGCGTCGCCACCAGAGCCGGAACCTCCGCCTAGAAGTGGGATCTCGGATGTAACAGGGCCGTATTCGCGCTTGAAAGGTGAGTCGGTGAAGAGAGCAGTTCTTGAGTTCCAGTGAGGGTGGGCGGCAGTTCCAGCATCCTGTTGCTGCATCTGGAACTTCGCCATCGCTTCAGGAGCTGCAGCTGCCATGGCAACATCAGGGGAGGCGGCGTCGATGTCCATGCATGTAGTATAGTACTCGTCCAGACCATTAGGCTGCTTTCCAGCCTTGCCAGGAATCGAAGCCCATTGCCAAACCCAGTACAAGGTATAGGTCTTGCTGAGTTCCATCGTGTCTGGAAGCTTGACATCTGTCTCGCAGTACATGACTGTGTTTGAAGGTCCGCTCTGGGGTGTACCCATCGCATAGGCAGGAGAGAACTTTTCACGTTCTGAAGCGACTGGCGTCTTGTTGTTCAGATAGCAGCGTCCGTCGTCGTAGTCAGTCATAGCTAACAGGACTCCACGCTTGTCACCACCCTGACCATCTTTGGTCCACTGGAGCACGTCGACAAGCTTCTCATCACCTTTCGGTTCCTTGGTGCCGTAGACGAAGATTGTGCCGCCCTTGTCAGGCTTCTCAGGGTTGTTCTCCGGCCTTGTGACATGTCCATTCTCTTGGTATCGTATAGCGACGTAGCCACCCGGCGGAGCTTTGAGACGAGGCCATTTGTCGGCGGACTGCTTCTGCTCACGTTGATCGTCCGGGCAGAGCAGGTCGTCCTTGTTGATATACGCCCTGCCTTGAGGTATTTGGTAGGACATGGGGTCATCTGTACCATCGGGTCTGTCGATAAAGCCCCGCGGGTATCCATATTGGCCGACGTAGTTGCCTTTGTCGTCGATGTTCCGAAGCTGCTCGCCCCAGCTGTGGCCCATAGCCGTGGGAAAGGCCATGAGCGCGGCGACAAGCGTATTCCGTATGCTAGGCATTTTGATGTGTGTGTAGTGTCGAAAGTGAATCTTGCCCTGCAAGAGTAAGGTGTGGGATAGTCGGTGCCAGATGTCTTATCAGTACTGGCGATACGTATATCCTGACGTGAGTGTTGTTGTCGAAAGCGGGACAGGTGGGAATTGGTGTACAGGAAATTATATCGTGACGAAAAGTGAAGTATCGGCTTGGCGGGCACTGTGAGTGGTCGCTCCGTCAATAGTCGTGTGACTCAATCCGTCTTCACCTCGCACGTAACGATGCTATTGTTCAATGACAATAGTACCAGACCTTGTGAACGACGCACTGCGCGCTCTAGGCTACAAGAAAATAAGAAATGCAAGAGAAGAAGTGAAGACGCACAAGCCGGATGTGAACACAGACTGCAATATCACGCGGCCATGGCCCTTTATTCAGACGGGTGAAGGTGGTGAGACAGACGCTGTTGAGCGTTGTAAAATCTCCGGCCTAGAAGGGAAGAAGCGACAGGAGCCAATAGAGAAGGAGACACACGAGGTGTCGAAACACAGCGCCACTCCACGCGACGCCGCACGCAAGCTTTCGAGCCTGACTGTATGGGTGTAGGATGTGCGTTTCAACGCTGGCCGATGCTGTAGCCGCCAGCCATGGCTTTCCCGTCCCGCAGCGTGGTCGCGGCGTAGCGCGCTCTTGCTGCAGCCTCCCGTACTCTCCGGCGCGAAGATCGGCGTCTGTTAGTCGGTAGTTGGCAATACATGTGCATGGCAGGGCTACGCTAGCCATCCTCAGACATCAGAGGGGCCGTTGAGTGTCAGAGGACCGTGTGCCGTTGATCTACAACACAACGACGGAAGCTAGGCATCATCTAGATCGATGCGATGAAAGTGGAGATGAAATAACGATAGATAATGAGAGCCAGTGATTGCGATATTGTGAAGCTTTCTGCATCGCCCATCGTGAACCCACAAGCGTGACGTAAGAAATCGCGCAAAGTGCACGCAAAGTGGATGACAAAATCATCGAAGTGCCAGAGCGAGCCTGGAACGACCCCACGACAGGTGAATGTGTGCCGGTGTAGCGCTTCGAGAAGGAAGGTGAACCCGCAAGCGACGGGTGGTGGGGTGAAGGTAGTTTGGTGGAGGCTCCACGTTGTTTCAGGTCAGAGCGCACGCGGGCGTTGATTGGTCATCGGCCGCCACGCTAGGCTTCAACCTAGGAAATAGAGATATCGCCTGATTGGCGCGCATCTCTCCATTTCACGATGCCCGCCAGCTAGCCATTTCCCACGACCAGATTGACGCCCATCCAGTCTCTATATTTGACAAGCGAGATTCCAGACACCTGGCCAGCTTCATGCGCCGTTTTTTCTTTTCCGATGCCGAGCACAGGCCGCGAGATGAGATGTTTCCCAAAACGCATTCCTACCCATACAGGCACGCTCCTATCGCTCCCTCGTGTTTCATCGATAAGGGAAAACGGCGGGGCGCGGAACAGCCCTGAGGCATAGCAAACGGCATCAACGGGGGCCTGGCCAGCA